TGTTCGAAGAAATTGAAAGGGCGTTTACAGTAGAACCCGGGTAACTTGAACTTGGATTACTCGAACTCCCTGCTAACTCAAACTAACTCCAACTTCCCTTCGATGGCACTCAACTTTTCAGTCATTTTTACTTGTTTAACTCAAACTTGGATAACTCAAATTCCCTGCTAACTCAAGCTACCCAGTCACTACCCAGATCTGGGTAGTGCTTCTGATTGGTCTTGCTGCGTGGGAAATTTGATTCAACTAATCAGAAGCACTACCCAGATCTGGGTAGTGATGCACGATCAGTACGGAATTTTTGCCCTTGTTTCTCAGACATCATTTGGCAGGGAAACCAGTGGTAGAGTCGGCAAATGTCGGCTGTTTTCTCAGGCTATGTTCTCACATCTTTGAAAAGTATCCTAAGCAGTAGTCATGGCTATATCACAAATAGATTTGCTGTATATATAGGTAATGCTTTAAAAGAGAAAGTTTAAGGGAGACCAGTGCTTAGAACCAGTGAAACCCAGTTTTTTATGAGAAAACTAAGATTTTCTAGTTGCCAATTGAAGCAAAATTTTCTCCGGCTGCTGCAAGAGCACAGCATTGGGCTAATATGTTAGAACCAGGATTTACAAAAACTTGCAAGATACCTACACAAATATTAAGACAGTACACTACTACTCTGTCGTATGAGTTTTGGTGTTAATCATGTTTTAGTGAGTTCTGCACCCTCCATAATTAAATGTCTATTTTAAACCCCCTTTGAAAAAATGCCAAAACTACACCCCTGGTATGTTTACTCTAATCGAATGTTACTGCCCTTGTTGAGATATGATTCTACCATATTTTGGATAATAAATCATTGTAACCAGAGATTCCAACCCTGTCAACTAAAAAAAGTGAGGTTTTAGGAGTGGTATAGCCCCTCCCATGAGCACCAAAGGGGGATCCGGGGTCATGCTCCCCCAGGAAGATATGTGCCTCTAAGATGCCTTTACCAGCATTTTGAGACCACAAGGGAACGCACACCTGGTACAAAGTCGAGGCAATCCAGCGTATTACCGCACCCAAAATTATCATAGGCTCATGCTCAAATGCCATAAGGGTAAAAATGGCTGAAAAATCCCACAAAAAATAATGTCAAAGAATCGTGCTAAAAAGACTGGTTAAACTAAGAAAGGAAGAGTTTTAAAACCGGGAGGATATTAAGTGAAAACGGGACGTTTCGAAGTGGGAGGGTTGGAGTCTCTGTGTAACTGATTGTGGTTGTGTTGTTTCCGCAATATACTAATACCAACTTTGCTTCTATAGGGTGTAGTCCTCAAAAGTTTCAACACATCAGACATTAAATCGGAGGAGGAGCTTTTCCAAATGTTAAATATATCCCTTCCTAAACAGCCTGATGGTAACTATCTATCTATATTCTTTATGAGGGCTCATAACTTTGCACCCTAAATGAAGAATTCTAAGTATATACTTTCCAACATTTTTTCAATTTCAGTTAGTCTATGACAATTTTAGAAATTTGTGCCCCCCCCTCCCCCCCATACCTTCACTTCTTCTATGTTCATGACTAGCATTAGAGAGTTCAAGCAACCACAATGTTGATGGAAACAAAAATATCTCTTACAAAGTGAATTTGTACTGTTTCAAATGTCATCGGTATTATTCTTTCTCATTCAATTTGTCAAATGTTGGGAAATTTTTTTGGAGCTGATTTCTAAAGGACTGCATCTAAGTGCAATAGGCAAACAAAATGAAATCTTATAGGCTCATAAGTGTTTGGACCATTGGAGTCCATTGGAGTTATTTTGGAATAACACAGTGTGCTGAGAGAGTTACTGACAAGTAATTTTTTTCTTCTAACATCATAGGAGGTAACTCTCAAGGTGGATCACATGGCAGTTCAGGTAAGTAAGTAAGCTTACACGACGAGGTCATTTATGAGAGATTCTGATTGTAAGGCTTTGACTGGGAAAATTTTCTGGATAAAGTTGTCTCTTAAGGGAGGTGGAGGTTGGCACATGAAGGTTCAACTGTAGTTTTGCGCAAAATAAGGATGATAATTCTTTTAGCGAGCAAGTATCCCCAACTGGTTAATAAGTGTGACAGATGAGACGTTCTAGAATGACCAGTGGTAGGAGTATAATATTACTGGTTAAAATTAAATTCTGGTTAAAGTTTTTTAACCTAGGTTGATTCTCAGTTTCCTTTGTCTCTGATCTAGCTAGCACAAAAATCAAGAATCAACATAGGTTAAAAAGTTTTAAGCTGAATTTAATTTTGACCTGTAACATAGACATGCAATGTGTGTGTGGCCGACCGGTTAACACCTCAAACTCCAGATCTAGAGGTCTGGGGTTTAAGCCTCGTTCATTGCGCGGTTTCCTTTGACAAGGAACTTTACTCCACTTTGTCTCTCTTCAATCAGGTGTACAACTGTATAAATAGGTACTGGCGTCATGCTGCTTGGGGGTAACCCATCCAGGGGGGGGGGGTGGAGGGCAGCAAGACTCCTTAATTGGCATGATTCATGTTAAAGGGGCTATGTCAGCTGGAGAGCATGCGCTCTGAGGTTATGCAAATTACTTTCAACTGTCAAAATTCTATTGTTTTTAACGCGTGACTTTCTCCATGTGCGCTGTGAGGTTATGCAAATTACTTTCAACTGTCAAAATTCTATTGTTTTTAACGCGTGACTTTCTTCATGTTCTCTGTCACGTCCAAGGTTCCGAATTTAGAGAGGTTTAGCGAAATGGGTTTAGATAAGGGATATTTCGATAGAATTTATGGAACGTTTCTTCTCTGGTTATGCTAGATCAAGAATAAAATTGCGACGACAATTTTACTTGTAGTTTTGAAGTAAAAACGCATGCCATTCATAAAATAGAGCGCAAACAAAAATTCAACAACAACATATTGTCTTATTCAACAAAATAAATGGAAGTTGTATTTTACAAACGCGAGCTACAAAAGACGCTAGACCAAGATAAATACCAAGACTGTTTCAAATCATTAACAATTAGACTTGTCTGTCGCTATTGATTTTATAATTTAGATGCTGATAGAACAAGAGACCAAGTCTTTGTTTTGATCTTAGGGAAACATACATTATCGCAAGAAATTGTTCGATCGTGCCGAATCACTGCGACGTCGAAAAAACCCAGCATCATTGGTATACTCCTCCACTATAAGCAGTCCGTTGATAAAAAGGGAAAGCAAACTCTGCTATTTTCCAAAATTATGCTCCAACACAAACAGTTCAAAAACATGGCATTTACAGGATCTAACTCGTACTAAGGTGCCTCTCTAAGTCCGTTGAGAACAATCTGGACGAGCAAACGGTCGTGTTTATCTTTGCCGTGAATCGAGATAAATACAAGAAGGAATCTAGCCGAATTTTAGAATGTTTCCTTCGCCAGCAGTTTAGTTTCGTCACGAAACTCATGGCCTGATGCTCTTGTAATCGTTTACAAAAAACGGCCGCCGCCAACTCGATAGCCGCTTCATTATATGTCCACATACTTTGAGCACAAGAAAAATCCAAGAGCCAGCAGCCTCTAAAATAACTCAATAGAAAGGTCCTGTGAACTATAGGGAAGATTCCATCAAAGATTCCATCACTCATTGTGGAGTAGCCGTCGTTAACTCTGCCATTACAATGGCCGCTGATAAGAGGACACAGTAAATCCACGTAAAAACATTCCACAGGCAAACAATTTTAAAATAACGTCAAAAAATTGTTCTGTAATCACCATAGAATGATTCTTAATACAAAACTTCGCTAACTATCGAACGATGGCTGAGATTTAGACAGATAAAAACAGCCTTCCAAAATCTCCGACACA